TTTTAAGGAGCAATGTCATTTGTCCTGTTATAAATGACCATGATGCACATTTGGGTTGAAGATATTTTAAATGTGACTATTTCTTCCACTTGAGATAAGTGCTTGGATAATTTTAGAATTCCTGTGTGATCATCTCTGAAAATGTGTGTGTCTACAATTAGAAACAATCAAATATTTTATGCCAATTTATTCATCTATCTTACTTTAAATTTCATTTCAATTGTAGGGGGAGGGTATAGCTCAGTGGTAAAGTGTGTGCTTAGTATGCTTGAGGTCCTGGGTTCAATCCCCAGTCCCTCCATTAAAAATAAATAAATAAACCTAATTACCTCCTCTGCCCCCTAAAAATTAAAAAAAAAATTTAAATTTATTTCAGTTAACAAGTGTATTTTAAATATCAATACAATTATTTTTATTTTATACAATTAAACAACATTTTATATAATTTTTTTAACTCTCTTTTCTCAGCTAATTTTTCCGCTGAAAGTATTTGATAATGAAATACTTTGGGACAGCTCTCTCAGCCTTCCTAATTAAGAAAAAATTTCCTGTTTATTATTCTAAGGCTGAAAATATACTCAAAAAAATGTGAATTACATTTTAGCATTAATATGCTCTTCAGAAGTCTCATTAATATAAGACACCTAGAATAGTAAAAATGTGAAGCTAATAAGAATTGATTTATACCTTAAACAAAAGACTTCTAAGACTATCTCCCTCTAGTTTTAAGAATATATATTTTTCTCAGAATTATAGAAACATTTAATTCTAATGATCTACCTTTCAAACGTAAAAACCATACCAAATACAGCAGCTATTTTAAAATTTTAATTTATCTTAATGAATATAATCTGAGAATTCATGCATCATACATACAGCAAGTATTCTGTATATAATTGCTAAAGTTCATCGCTGGCCAAAGTTAAATTGTATGACTTTAATGAATGGTCACAGTAAAGCCATGAAAGAAGTATAATGGAATTGGCACCCGGCTGCTGTGCACAAGGCAGGCAAGCATTCTCAGTAGCAGCAGTACTCAGCAAATATCTGCTGATTTGGCAAGGGCTTTAGTTCACGAAGTTCATGTCTTACTACTATGGCCCTAATCAGTTGAGACAGAATTAGCACTAGCTAAATCGTCTGTGTGCTGGCTGGAGGGGTTTGTTGAGGGTAAGAGTCTGAAGACAGAGATTAAGGAACCTTCATCCTCCTAAAGTGCTGGGCATCCAGGATTAAAGCTCTAGGTCAGAGAAATCCAGCCCGAATGCAAACCTAAGCACCAGTGCATTCCCACGTTTGGGATTACCTACCAGACACGTTCTGCATTTAGGATGGATATCCCAGTCTATACTTTGATTCAAGAGCATTTCATCTGCTACAGCAAAATCACATTGGTTCATAAATTGTCTGCATGTTTCTAAAATAGAAGAAGATACCCAGAAAATGTGAAAGTAAATGTTTAAACCTCATGGGTTGATACTATGACTCAGGAACTCCAAAATGGTGAGTTTGTAGAAACATAGATTTGGAGCTTCAAGTATTTATCTAACTGACTGATAAAGAAGTGAAAGATCTAGTCAACCCAGAATGTTTTCCTGGAAGTGTCTTATTATATTTGCTTTAAAATATAATTTGGTTTAGGGCAGTAAAACTGTTCTGTATTAGATTATAACAGTGGGTACAAGTCATTATACATTTGTCAAAACCCAAAGAATGTAGAACATTTAAGTGAACCAATCCTAAGGAAAACCTGGACTTGAGGTAATAGTGATGTGTCCATGTAGGTTCATCATTGTAACAAATGTACAAATGTAACAAATCCGGTGCAGGATTTTGATAGTGGAGGAGCTGTGCATGTGTCTGGGAGAGGTATACGTGAGTTCTCTGAACTGTCTACTCAATTTTTCTGTGAACCTAAAACTGCTCTAATAATAAAGTTTGCTAAATATATATATATACACACACATACACACACACACATATGTATATATATATATAAAACTATAAAATATATCTATAAAATTTGGGACATACAAAAGATAACAAGCATATCATTAAAAAGTGTCTTAGTCCATTCAGGCTGCTGTAACAGAATACGTAGTCTGGGTGGCTTATAAACAAAGGCATTTGTTTCTCACAATTCTGCAGGCAGGGAAATCCAAGATAAAGGCCCTGGCAGATTTGGTGTCTGGTGAGGACCTGCTTCCTGATTCATAGACGGCCTTCTCTCTGTGTCTTAACGTGGCAGAAGAGATGACAGAGCTCTCTAGGGTCTCTTTTTTAAGGGTACTAACCCCATTCATGGGGGATCCATCCTCATGACCTAAATCACTTCCCAAAGGCCCCGTCTCCAGATATCGTCACATTGGGGATTAGGTTTCAACATATGAATTTTGGGGGGATACATTCAGTCTACAGCACCAGAAATGATTTTTTAAAGGAAAATTGGGGCCTCAATAGTTATGAGAGTGATAAATAAATAAACACTTGCTCACAAGTGTAAAGATGAAAAGAAACTAAGGAAGCCAAATGGAGGCAAGAACCATAACAGTCAGGTGTGGTAGATGCCAGAGACTCGTCGTCCTTCCTAGGGACCTTCATGACATAGGAACATTTCCCTCGATTTGGGAATAGTTTACAATTTAGGTAAAAATTTGGTACATTGATTCAAGATAATAAACTGCCATATTGGAAGTATAACAAAAATTTATAGATTATATTAAATTCCACTGGCATAGCAAAAAGAAAGAACACCGGATCCAAGCACCGCAGAATCCACAACAGGTATGGTACCAAGGAGGGTAAATTAGATGAGACTTCTCTCTGATGCCTCATTTCTTCAACTCCATTAGCCTTGAGTCCCCCACTCATTTCACAGAATGCATGACTAACAGTAAAAAAAAAAATCCTGCTGTGTCGTTGCAGACAATGGATCCTACAGAGCCTCGCAGAACTATGCCTATACCTGGTGAACCTGGTAGTCCAGAAGAAAGGCATGTGTGTCGATTATCTAGTGGAATGACATTAGAAGGTAACCACATGGCCGCAACAGCACCAAACGCTGTTGCTGCCTTATCCTATATTCCCTTCCTAAATTCACCTACAACCTCAGAGGTCATTTCCCATCTCAAGCACCTGCATCTCTCTGCTTCTCAGTCTGAAGACTTTCTCTCACACCATAGGCGCTTGTTGGATCTAGTTCAGGCATAACCCAGATGCAAGGGATAACTGTGCCCTTCACCAATGGCTGACAGAAACCAATAGGCAAATGGCCAACTCCTTGTCTTTCACTGGGACAATTATAAGGTACTACGGGGTTTCTTAGCGGGTCCCCAGCAGGGTCGCCGGCAGTGGTAACTCACACGTTAACTCACTCCTTATTGACTTCCCTTCCTGGTCTCATTTGCCCACTCCTTCATGTAGGCTTCTGGGGATCAGCTCCCAGATGCATTCATGTCCTTGTCCAGGCCTGCTTTGGGGGAATCCCATCAACTTTTGGTGACTAACATCCATGACATTTCTCTGTGATGACGTGTGTGGCATGGGGGGGTGGTCAGCCTCTAACGCTGTCTGCCCCAGAGGGATTCTGCACTGCCCGCTTTCTTCCCTCTCCTTCCTCCAGATTTGTCTCAGGCATCACATTAAATGCAAGATGAGCACTATATGTTATAGCTTCAGAGATTCTCTCCCATTCATAGGTAAGTTCAAACTCCTACCAGAGACTTTCAATTCATGACGCAAATCAAAGTTCAGTCATGTTTCAAAAGGAAACACCAAGCTGTGTTCCACATTATTCTGTTGCGTAATGGACCAGGAGAAAGGAGGTGGCTGTCACCAAGTCTCAGATGTGCAGGACCTGAGATTTCAAGCTGTGGAGCAGTGTTCTCTCCAGAGTTGCAAGCCCACGGCTGACATACCCCTGGCCTGAGTTCTTCGTTGGCATTCTCACCATGGTTGGTAGGCAACAGGCAGATATTTTCATCCTTATCCTGATTTGTCCTACTCTGAGGCCACTATCAAAGAGGAAATTATATTGACCTCACAGAAATACAGTGAAAATAAATCCACATAAAGAACTTTTAAAATACACTTATGAATGGTGAAAGCTAGTGTTAGGTGTCCCATGGGCTTGAATTTCCAATTTGATCTCAAGTTGAGGTCTGAAAAAGAAGCTAAAGAAGTGATTGCTTATTGAAATATTATATTTTTAGTTTTTGAACCATATGAATGTATTAACTATTTTAAATTTTAAATCAAATATACACACAAGAAAGGAAAGAGAAAGAAAGACTACTATTTTGAAAAGCAGAACATTTTCTTCCTAATTTCCTTTTTTTCCCCAGTTGTAGGTATCTTAATTTTTTTAAGTAATAATTGAGAATAAAGAAGTTAAACTGACCTGTTTGACTAGCTCTCACTTAATATATAAAATTATTCAAAGGACATTAATAATTAACAAGAAAACATAAGTCAAAATTTTGTCCCTTTTACAATGGTCCCTTTTTCTGATCTCTAGGTTTTAGATAAAATTATGAATGCTTGTGTTCCTGTATGTTTGGATAGAACTTGGTTGCTTACATCTAGATAGTCCCATGCAGTCAGCCTGTATGCACTTTAGTGAGATATATTTTTAGCATTAAGAAGATTTCCCCCCTCTTTTATGTTTTAATCCTATCAACTAAATAGGAATATTTTCTCCAAAGATTGAACATATGAGGGCATACATTCATTTGTACCTCTGGAAATATAAAAATCAAAGTAAGTTGTAAGAAAGAAGGATGGTATTTCTATAATCTTGTAAAGTTGGTTTAATTTTATCATTGCTTGTAGTGTGATGTGGAATTACCTGTGGACTCTCCGACAAATTCCAAAGGTACACTGAGTTCTCCAGTTGTATCTGGGTACCTGCAGTGGAGGGATTTTTGTGTAACTAAAAGCCTGGTGTAGCAAGTCCTCCCAAGTGTTGGGAAAATGCAAAACATGTTCATTATGTTCAAGAAGAATTCAAACAGTTTACAAAAAGTAAAGTTATCTGCTGACACATCTATCTGATTTTTTTTTTAGAACTTCATCAGTGGCGAGAGATACTGATGATAAATCCAATGATGGCTGTGAACCCTTTATTGACAGCATCAGGGCAGCAGAGGATCCCACTGGTTCCTTCACCATTTGAACCTCCAAGTGTGGATAGGTATTTCTCTCCAGTATGAAATTCCAGTCATAGGAGAAGATGGATATCATTACATTTTTGAAGGCTATTAACCCCAGTGCTGTTTTATTGTCTAACATTACTTCAGGGAACCATGGCACAGGATATCTGCTGGCCACATCTTCAACAAACTTCCCATCACTTCCCCTTTGAGGCCTGCTTGACATCCTCACTCAGCAAATAGCTAATGAGCACTATGCGACAGGCATTGTATAAGTGCAAACATTGATATGGCCTGCTCAGGCTGCCATAACAAAGTATCACAGACCAGGTGGCTTAATTTTATTTCTCACAGTTCTGGAGGCAAAAAGTCCTAGATCAAGGTGCTGACAGGTTTGGTTTCTCCTGAGGCTTGTCTTCTTGGCTTGCAGACAGCCACCTTCTTGCTGTGTCTTCTCTTGGCCTTTTTCTCTGTGTGCATACACTTATGGTGTCTCTTCCTCTTCTTATAAGGACACCAGTCCTGTTGGGTTAGGGCCCCACCCTTATGACTTTATTTAACTATAATCACCCCCTTAAAGGCCCTACCTCCAAATATAGTCACATGGTGGGTTAGGACTTCTAACAACAGATTTTAGAAAGGGACACAATAAAGTCCATAACAGTTGAGTATCCTGGATTTCTTGTGATAAAACAATTCTTTTTTTGCAATAAAAGTAAAACTATCAGTATTTTGGTTGCAAACCCTGGCAGTTTTCTATCTTCTCTTTAAAATATTCTGACATTCTGAGAAGAAAGTAAAATTCATTATTTATCTTTGTTCATGGAGTATGAACAATAGAGGTGAACTTCTAGAGACCACTGAAGTTCAGAGAAATAAATTGTCTACCCAGGTAGTCAAAAAGTGATCACAGAGGGCAAAACTCAAGCCAGAGTATGTTCATGAAATGAGAAAAGAATATTGTGGTCAAGAACAGTATATTGGTCATGGAAAATCAGAGATTAGTGTTGATTTGATTAGATCTTTTCTCCCTGACATCCCTAAAACTTTCTTCTCCTGCTTTCTCTGTTCTGTTGTCTTCTGGTTCCCTCCTTCCTTATAGAACCCTTCCTTCTAATCTTTCTCATCATATTTCTGCTCAAACTAAGAGCAACTACAGGACTTTTGTACTCATTTTGAGAAGAGATGATGGAATCCCATATGGCAATAAAAAATCTGCCTATGCTATGGAAATTTAGTACAATTCCACTTTCATTTTATTTATTTTATATCTCTTTTCCCTAGAGATTTATTGCCTCCCACTGTAGCTCCAACTGACCCAAGGCAGTTTTGTATTCCTTCCCAATTTGGATCCTCTGCTCTACCAAATGCAAATGTGCCGAACATGCTGTCCAGTCACGTCTACTCAGGTATGAGCAATAGATGGCTGTCTGTGGAGCCACTGTGAACTGGATTGCTGCATTAAGCTTGCCACCTAATTCACTGTTAATTTTGGAGGTAAAACTGTATGGTGATTAGGCTTGTAGTTTCTACAGTTGCTACCCAGGTTTAAATCATGATTCTACCACTGTGTGACCAAGTGTAAGTTGCTTAATTCCTCTAATCATCAATTTACTGATGAAAAACATGAAAATCTGCAGTTACTATCTGTTTTAGCTTACATGCAAGACACTGATGAGGTCATGAGGAGGTGAGCTCTGAGTTATAGGCCTTGGGGAAGTTTGTATGTGGCCTGATAGATCATAGTGAGGCCTTGCCTTTTATTCTGGGTAAGAGGGAAGACTTTAGAGGAATTTGAGCAAAGGAGTGACATGGTCTGACTTACATTTTACCAGGTTCACTCTGGCTGCTGTGTTGGGGACATACTTGATAGGATTAAAGTTTTGGAGTTAAACTGATGGTCATTAATGGGCTATTAGGATAGTCAAAAGATTATGATGGATTTGCCCTGGGTGGTGACAGTAGGAATAGTGAGAAGTGGTTGGATTCTGCAGTTATTTTTGAAGGTAGAAACAACAGGATTTTCTCACAGACTAGATATGAGATGTGAGAGAGGGAGAAGATAAAGAGGAGCAAGTAAGGGAGAAATAGAGGGAGCAAGCAGTGAGGTGGGGGGAAACCCAGGAGAGTACAGAGGCCTGGCAGCCAAGCGAAGACAGCGTTTTAAGGAGAGAATGAGGAACTGTGTCAAGTAGCTGCTCTCAGGTCAAGTAAGATGAGGACTAAGCACATATGAGTAGATTGAGCTGTGTGGAGGTCCAGAGATCACACTTTGTCTTCTGGACCCTGTTGGTATGCCAGAGGGATCATCCTTTTAACTTCTGTCTACACTCTAGAGATCATCTCATATAGTCTCATGTATCCTGATGACTCCCAAAATTCTACCTCCAGGCTGTCTCCAAAAACTGCCAGTATTTGAACACAAACAGGCAGGCTGACCACCTGTCCCAGAGACATAGGTCAGTCTCCCACCTCAAGGCTGATGTGTAAGAGAGTAAGCAAGGGCAAGGTAGGGCCTTAGTCCTATAGAAACTAAGCTACTAAGTAAGTGAGCAAAACAGGAATTAAAACAGGGATCTATTTCAACAACTAGGGTGTTAGGTAGGGAGTGGATTACTAGAACTGGACTAGCACTAAGTTTGACGTCATCTATTTGGGAAAGAGAAAGAAACATGTAATAGGTTTGATAAGTCCAGACGTCAGAATGTCCTGAGATCCAGGTAATTAGAATTGTGCCCCCCACACTAGTCGTCTCACATGGACATGCTCTGCATCCTTGGGCATTATGCCATGGACTGGCAGTTTCATGCATGCAGGCTGTCTCAAGGAGAGTATATTGAAACCACTGAGCTATATAAAAACATAGGTTTTAGAGTCAGAAGGATTTTTAGAGGTCACCTCATCTAACCTCTGAGTTTTACAAATGAGAAAAAATCTCATAAAAAAGATACAGTATGATTTTTTACTAGGTGGGTCATTATTAATAGGAGTTTAGTGAGTTCTGCTGGCTCGGTACAAAGAAAGTATAAAGAACAACTCTAGCCTTCATGATACTTGCCCTCCTGTTGGCCAGCACAGATTTAGACATGTAAAACTATCACTGAACAAAATTATATATATAATAAGTACAATTTGTGTGTTTATTATTGCTAGAGGGTGATCTGTACTCCTGGGCTGGTCTGAGAAGTGTTTGTACAAATAAAGGCATAAATAGAGGGTAAGGACTTAGAAACTTTTATAGCAGTTTGACAGGGTAATTTTACATCTACTGGTCTAATTATTTTAAAACGTTCTTGTATTATTTGTTGTTTTTATTTCAAGTTTCTAAATGTTATTTTATTGTATTTTTTTTAAAGTATTGGTCTATGATGGCTTAGAAAATTTTTTTAAAAATTAGTCCTTCACCATGGATAGTTTGAGAAGCACCAGTTAAGATTCTAAGTGCATTAGGAGTCCAGAGAAAGAAAAAAATCAATATAAGCATGAAGTTATCAGGCGAGAATAGAGCCTTGAATCCTGTCATTATTCAAGACATTTTGGAAGGTTGACACAAAGAATGTAGTTGGTGTTCAATGCCATTGAAATTGTTTTGAAAAAAGTATTTACCCCAGCTACACCAAAAATTCCACATAGAGTACTTCATACTTTATCCACTTAAATCATTGCATTTATTTCCAGGGATTTCAGAGCATCAGGAAGAACTTAGTTACTTTTTTTTAAAGGTCAACTAATTCTTCCTGTACCAAAAAAAAAAGAAAGCAAGAGATCCACAGTTAATTTAATCTTTTTCCTTTTGAAGTATGGCAGGGAAACATTGCCGATCATGAGACCATACCGAAGGAAAAGAAAATCTAGCATTGTCATGCCATAACCAAAGTGACTCTAAGATGCCAAACAGCCATGAACTGATATTGTTTCCAACATTGTGCTCAATTGGTGGTTTTTTGCAGATACTGTTTAAAATCATTGTATTTTATTTTATTATTTTCAAATGGATGTTAATTTGCTTATGGGGTGAAATGGTGATTTTCTTGTTTAAGGTTGGGGCATTTTGCCACCAGAATCCATAAAGGCAATGGCTAGAAGGAATGAAATGATTCAAAGGCAGCATACTGCCAGGTAACGTAACAATGTTGTTTTCATTATTTTCTATTCATTCAATTGTTTGTTTATTCATTTGTTATATATATACTTTAATATGTTCATTCATTCATTTGTATTTGTATATATTGTTATAGTTGTGTATATATAGTCACTGATTATGTGTGTATATATATGTATGTATATACCCACACACGGACACATGCACACATGCCCTGATTACTTACAAAAAAGTATTTCAGAAATATTACAAAAAGAAATATATACAAACATCTACATGAGTTGGTTAAGGATAAAAAGCAAGATGACAACACAGTGAAGCTAAGTCTACAGATTGTAATAGTTCGTCAGTGTCTCATAATTAAAATGCTTAGCTGTGATTCCTTGGAAATTCATATCGGCATTTCTGTCTTAAATGACTTCAATTCTGCCCAAAGATAGGGGCTGAGCTTGTCAACCCCACTTCAGACTACACTACAGTATTAGAGCCCAAAAGTGGCCTTGAGCAACGAGGAGAAAGAAACACACAGCAGTAATGACTGGGGTACGGCTGTGGGTGAGAGAAGGCATCAGAGTCAACCTTCTCATCACCAAACACTAAGGGGTCCAGGTGATGATGACCAATAAGCAAAGACACCAAGTCCTCCCTCTCCTCCCTCCCCCGACCCCTACCACTGGCATTAATTTGTAACAGTTGAAACTTACTGTGTTTCTTGAGCCTCATTAAAATTGTACTGAAGTGTTTAAAAGCTTCTTCCCAGAACTTTAGTTTCTTTGAGGATTAGTCTCTGGCAAGAAACTACACTGTGCTGCATTATCCCTAACGCGGCTAGATTTGCCAAATCTATTAGAGATGATGCTCTAAACACTGGCCTTGGACTTCCATCATGAGTTCCAGCCAGACCCTTCACCCTCTGGTCTTAAGCCAAACTCTCCTGCCCAGTAGCTTCGTGGGGGACTTGTGCTCACACCTAACGAACTTCAGATAGGTCCCAGGAAAAGCAGAGGTGCTACCTTAGGGAAGGCAGAGAGCCATTCAAATTCTATTTCTGATGGTTTTCTTGAGTTCTGTAAAATATACTGTTTTGTTTTTAGGATGGAAATGGAAATGCATGCCATTTACCAGCAAAGGAGAATAGAGAAAGTTAATTCCAAGAGACTAGCAGGCCTAGGGATGCCATTCCTCTATGGCCCCAGTACCCCAGCTGGCCCAGCCACCTACCATGGCAGGGGCGTGCTCCCTGCCGGGGACCTGCATTTTCACAGAAGCACCCTGAGAAACCTTCAGGGAAACCCCATGGTAGTGGCAACTAGTCCACGCTTTCTAGAGAACTGGGGGCAGAAATGTCGTCGTCTCAGGAGAGGTACAGGGAGCCAGAAGATTCTAGACAGTGATACCGAGAATTCCAAAAGTCAAGTAGAAGAAAAACCCGTAGGCCAGACTCACACAGTTCCCTATGAAGAGGACGACTATGCAAAAGACCCAGAAACGGACCCTCTCAGCAATCAGAAGTTGGGTGAAGCCGTTGAAAAGCCAGCTACAGCTCTTGCCAACACCTGTGGAGAGCTGGAGCCCGGCCACAGAAAGCACTGGGGAGCTCATGGCGCTCCCCTGGAAGAAAAGGCCTGGGCTGATGGGAAAGAGAAGCCTTCAGAGCAGGTGTTTGCAGCCTGTGTTGAAAAGAATGGGGTTTCCCCTCCAGTTCCTCGACCATCTCTCCCAGGTAGGTGTCCAGGGGCCAGTAGCCAATAGCCGATCCTCATGAACTGCAGGTCATTGAGTCCATGAAGTTATTACATAGCGAACTGCAGCCACTTCTTTTTATCCTTCTTTTTCTTAATCCTGTTTAGAATTGCCACTTCTTGAAGTCACTTTATTGCATTAGGTCCAATCAGCCTTAACAGTGAAGTGCACCTCAGTTTATATATTTCTATATAGAGAATTTTTGGCAAAGACTGGGAAGGTAAATATGAGGAAGGAATTTTTAATTAAAATTTTAATTTTTTAATTTAATGTAATCTCTTTAACATGAAATAGAGGGGCTTCTTGCTTAGAAGTATGAATTCTATCTCCCATTTTAAGTGTGGAAAAAATAGGCAACTAAACCGAAGCACTTTCAGTGCCCATTATTGTTATGATACTTTCTTACCTAAAAGTATTAACATACTATCCCTCCAAAAACATGCTGAATAGTTTTACAGAACTGCTTTAGATAAAAATATTTTAAAACACAGGGATTTGGGGTATATGTTATCTAACCACCATGCCAACTGCTTCTCTGACAAAGTATAAATTTGCCATTTTGACGAAGATGTAGCTAAATTCTTGTGTGGCCTAGAGAACATAGTAAATCATATATCACCATAGAATATGGTAGTATTAATCTGGGGAATAAAAGCCACCGGGTATTTATACTGGAATCTGAGAAAAGCTGGAGGAGTTCTGGACCCTTGGCTTTTATTTACAATAATGCTGTCATTAAAGATCCTTTCAAGGAATAAAAGAAAGGAGGCAGCTAAGCGTTTTTAGCAATCATCTCTCAGTAACTCAGTATCTTTCAAGGGGGTTACATATAGATCTGCGTAAAGGGACGGCTCTTTGGCAATGGGATATGGGGAAGTAATGTAACTACACATAAAACTGTGCTCACAGAGTTCCCCTTTCCCCTGGAGATTTTATACCACAAAATAGTCTCCTTTCCATTTTGAAGGAACACATGTGCTGCTTACAATCAAGGAAGATCTATCTTTGGATGAAGATATTCAGAAATGGACCGTGAATGATGTATACAACTTCATCAGTGGCCTTCCAGGTTGCTCAGACTATGCTCAGGTGACTTTAAGTATTTTCTGAAAGTTAGACATTTTGAAATACATGTTCTTCATAATGAGTTCTGTCAAACTTGATTTTGACCCCAGAGAGGATTCCTAATAATCTTTTCCTTTTTATGTCATTGGCTCCCCTGAAACGGGAGCCTCTGATTGGTCGTGTGCCCACACCCCAGCTGCAGGGGAGGCGGGGAAAGCCAGGGTCTGCCTGTAGTTCCCGCCCCATCAAGACTCCTGAGATATGGGAATTCTCACAAAATTAGGTTCAGAGGCCCAACATCCAAGAAGAATGAGAGAGGTCTGCTGTATTCTCTACTTGTCCATTTAACAAACGTTTTAGGGGCATGCGTTTCTGTGTCAGAAGTTTTGGGGCTACTCATCATACATAACAGAAATACATACTTTTTTCTAAAAAGGACAAGGAAAATACATCTGAAAAGTAGGAAATTAACTCTTTTTAAATTCCATTTTTATGCTGGGGCAGTATATAAAAATGCCTACACACATAATTCAATCTGGTAAAGAAACACTATTTCTAAAATTATAATGAAATGTTAGGATAGTTGGAAAGTAAAACTAGTCTCACTTATATGGGAAAATTAGAGATAAAAATGGTGGGTTGGCAAGTTTTTGAAGCTTATGACAATGCTACATTTTCATGCAAATAGTTTACTTTTTCAAGTGATTTAATAATACAATTCTAAGCAACAATGTGACTACTAAATTTGGTATCATTATCTTTGGTTTACAGATTAAAGGAAAAGCAAGAAAAGGACATTATGATTGAACTACATCATAATTTGCTAATGTTAGAGATAATTTTCTTTTAATCTCATTTTGTGATAGCATTTTCCTTCAGTGTAATGCTGTTAATTTTTTTTTAATCTTTTTTTTTCCCATTCTTTTTATGGAACCAATGGAAAAGTCATATAGAGTAGTAATTTAAAGTATGGCTTATAGGTGCCTGGCTAGTTCAGTCGGTAGAGCATGAGACTTAAAGTATGGCTTACAAAGCCAGAAAATACAAGTTCAAATCCTGGCTTTTCCACTTTCTAGGCATGTGACCTAGGACAAGTTGCCTCTCTCCTCAGTGCCTCAGTGTTTTCATGTGTAAAATGGGGATAATAATATAATATATTCTCAAAGAATTGTTGTAAACGTTAATGAGTGCCTGGCACCTTGTAAGTACTCAATAAATGTTATTTTCATCATTATATCAGAGGCTTCTAGAGAAAGCAGAACCTTAAGTTACTAATGAGGCTAGTTGTATTGTTTAAGTCACTTATTTTATGTTTTTGTATACCTGATAAAATTTTTTTCCTATTTTTTCGTGTTCAATGAGTATAATCTTATTTTTTTTATTAGACATTAACCCTGAGAAAGTCACTTTTTAAATTTATCTATGCCACTTACCATGTACCACATCAGCCACTGGTACAGTGAAGTTACCAAACTCTGATAGCCAGAAACAAGCAACCCTATCCGTAACGAACATTTGATTGCTGACTTCTGATGGACTGAATTTGTTTGAACTCACTATCCTTAGTCAGTGACCCACAGTCAGAAAAATGCAATTTGTAATAACCACTCTTGTAATAAATAACGTTACATGCATTTTATACTTTATAATCCCAAACATCCCCTTGTAGGTACATAGAAACCCATAAACATGAATACTCCAAACTTTGCTGACTCATTATCTCTCACCACCAGGATGTCATTACTTCCTTCCCACCCCAAGAAGTGGTACAGTTATTTCTAGGCGTTTCTCAAATGTGTTTAGGATCAAGTCCTGCCCTGTTTACACACTAATGTCTGTTCCCTCCCAGCGACTGCTGGTGACATCAACAGTAAGAATGCCACTGGTCTGCTGGGCATGACTTGGCTGTGCTCGGTGTTCTGTACAGAGATGGGAAGGACCTCCTTAGATGCAGCCAGGAGCTGTCTGGGTGCAACAGGCTCTGAAGCAGCACTGCTTGTGCACAACTCTCACAGGAACCCTTGTCCACAACATGCCATCTGCTTTTATCCTCAGCCCCTGGGATCACTCAGGGCCACACCCACTGGCCCCTCTCTGTCTTCACCTCTGCCTTAGGTGCAGCAACCTCCAACCACCTGCTTCCTGCAGGTAGAAAAAAGAAATTCAGGAAAAAATAACCGCAACTAAAACCCAAAGCCCCTTGCAAATGAAATCTTTTAAATAGATGGGAAGAGAGGGTAGGTAGTTCAGCTGTTTAGGGACATTCAGGATACCTGGTAACACATTTTGTTTGTTCAAAATCAATGTCTAGTTCAAATAAGTCAGCAGATAAAATATTCTCTCTCTAAAAATAACTGAAATTACTAAAATATTTGCACAATTATATCATGCACTTGGCCCAAACTGCTCTCATGAGCATGCAGTTGGGGACATCATCTGAGAGACAGAGGCATGTTCTGCATCTTTGCCTCAGGCCCAGGGTTCATCCACCGTGTTTGAAAGTTAAGCCCTCATGCACTTCAGCCCTGGCTGCCAACTACCTGTGCTTCTTGGACAGCTCACTTCACCTTTTCTACATTGGTTCTCTCCTTTATAAAAGATCATAATAGTGTCTACTATTAATTGAGAACAGACTATATACCAGGCATTATACTAGGCACATCATTTAGATTATCTTTCAGATTTAATCTATGTCATACTTCTGCAAAGAAGCTATTAACTCCATTTTGCAGCTGAGTAAAACTGAGCTTCAAGGTGTTTAGAAGGGTACTTCAAAAATGTGTGTGTGACTACGAGTCTAGCTCTTACCTTTATAATTACTCTACATTAAAGGTATTTGGCCATATGATTTTCATTCAGGAGTACCTGGGCCCCGTGGAGTTCTCAAAGGTGGTAAGAGGGATGCTTAAGTTGTTCACACTATTTCAAAATAACCTAAGAAATATCATCCATTTCCCCAAATTAAAGCTACACAGACTAACCCAAAATGTCAAATTCTTTGCTTTGGCCCAAATTAAGTTATTCATTTTAGCCATTCTACAATTTGTTTAGTTAAAATTTGAAAAGAAATAATAACTTAATAAATATAGTTTGTAAGTAACTAAACTCTGTTAGAACACAAATCCTGGTACAGAAGTTCCCCAAGAAGATTCTAATTTTCTGCTTGTCCCAATACAACACACCAATACTACATGTTCCAAGGCACGGAACATGCTGTAGAAACAGAACAAATATGGTTCCTCTCATGGAGCTTATGGTCCAGAAGAGGAACACCAGTAAGGGATTCCACTTACGTGTGACCAGGCTATGAGAGGGCAGGTACAGGGCATGGTAGGGACACACAGGAGGGCCTCATGGCTTCCTGGAGGAAGAGGCATCAAACATGAGTCCTGACAGTGAGCAGTTTACCAGCTAAGTAGGGGAACTTAGGTAGGAGGGAGGCAAAGGAGGAATTTCCAGGCAAGGACCAGAAGCCAAATAGAACTTAACATGGATGGGTTTTGAGAGCAGTTCTTAGCAGCCAGAGGGCCAGGGCTAAGGTGGGAGAGGTGAGGATGGCAAGAAAGGGGACTAAAGAGTGAGAAGTGGCCAGATCACAAAGAGCCTTGAAGACCCAGCAAAGGATTGTGACTTTATCCCAGAGACAGTCTAGGTTTTAAGTAGGAGTGGCATGCTTAACTTTTCATTTCAGACAGGTTGCTCAAGTTGCTTTTATGAAAATAGGTTAAGGGAGGCAAGACTGGGGAAGCCTCCTCAGATGAGCAAGTATGGAGTTTGATCCAGGGTAGGAGCAGTGGGGTGGACAGATAAGAATGCTATCTAAGAAGCAGAATTGGCACGATTCAGCTTCTAAGTTTAAAATATACATTCGGGAGCCTTCAGTATAGAAAGACACTCACTACTCACTAAAACCAGGACACAGACTGAGATGAATCAGTAAGGCCAGAGAGGACCTGGGTCAGAAGCCTAAGGGACTCTTAACACATAAAGATGGACAAAGAAACAGGAGCCACAAAGGTGACTCTGAAGGAGACAGCAGAGGGTACCCCGGAGGGAGAAGGGAGAAGTCTCATGAAGGCAAGGGAAGAGCATTTTTCTTGAAGGAGTAGTCAACAATGTCAGATGCAGCCCAGAGCATAAGAAATACGAGGACTCAAAAATATCCATGTGTTTAGTAGCAACAGTCACCAGGGGCCTAGAGGAGAGCAGGTGTAATGGACTGGTGAGAGTGGAAGTGAGACTCCTTGAGACTGAGCAAAGTAAGAACATGGAAGCAGGGAGCATGAGAACTCCTGGGAAACTGGGCTGTAAAGGAAATGAGAGACCTGGGGGAGTATTGAGAGGTGGAATGAGGAAGCGTTGGTGTATTTTCATTATTTTTGCTTGTTTAATGGTGGCAGAGACTTGCTTAAATGCCAATGGGAAAGAGCCAGCCAAAGAGGAGGGACTGAAGATGAGAGAGAGGATAATCTATTGAGTGAAGCCTGCAGGTGGGAAGGGTGAAGACACACGGCCCAGGTGGAGAGATTGTCTTTAAACAGTGTGGGACCATTCCACTGTATTAGGACAGAGCTTTTGGGTTTGTTGGGCAGAATTAGAGCAAGTTCTTATCTACTGATTTTTTTGAATTAAGAAGTTCTATGATTTGCTGAAAATGAGGGAGAATTCTGTAGGGTCTAAAGTTTGAGGAGTGTAAAGAAAGCTTGAAATAGAAAAGAAAGCTCATCGATATATACAGGATTGCCAGGCAGGTTGAAATTGGAGATCATGACCTTATGATACTGCTAATTGTCCCAGTTTTTTCTATCCATCTCCTCATCTGCCTGGAACCTTTGTCCCCCAGCAGCCTCCCTAGTATCTGGAAGAATGGAAGGCATGGTGGCATCCACTGCAAAGTCAGAACAAACAGGCCCCATGGAAGGTCCAGCATGGCAGCTCTTACCTGCGTCTTCCTCTCCTCCCTTTGGTACTCACTTAAGGCAGTGAACAGAGGCACTGCATCTGTAAATGTGAGAGCCTGAAATTTGTCTGCCATGGTTTTTACCCACATCCCTTTATTCAGACTCTTGTCCATTCATTGACTGGTCCAGGAGCACATCTTCTGTTATGTGCCAAACACAGCATTACTGGTACATTGGTGAGTAAGACATGGGCCTGTCCTCAAACGATGATGATGACTCCAGGTTGGAAATGAGTTCTAGATACAGAGAATTACAGTGTACTCCAAGGGTTATTAAAGAGCACAAACAACATGCCACTGGAGCACAGAAGGGAGGGTAACTGAACATAAGATATTTTATGAATTTCTGTCATCCTCAAGAGCAATCTTAATGTTTCCTCCAAAGCTAAAATATCTATACATTTAAACAAAGTTGACATCTTTTGTGTTTAATAAGGTATTTAAAGATCATGCAATTGATGGAGAAACTTTGCCATTACTCACAGAGGAGCACCTTCGAAGTACTATGGGATTAAAGTTAGGGCCAGCACTAAAGATCCAATCACAGGTAAGGTGATTTTTTTTGTAACTAAATATATATTAATGGTATGAAGCTTAAGAGAAATATGTTACTTTTGTCTTGTTGTAATAGTAACAATGCCTATTGAACCTCTTTCTTAAGCTTTTCCCCTCTGTGGGCGGGCACAAGACAGAAGTGAGGGCAACTGAAGACACTGAACAGGGCACTGGTGCACCTTCCTGTGGGAAGTGGGGAAGGCACAAAGCAGAGGTGCTGTGTGCTGGTCAATGTGTAACAACCTGCTCTCTTTAAAAACAAAAATGAACCCTGATTTCCTAGCATTTGTCAATTTCTGTAGTGTAAATACTCCCACCATGGCTGACAAACTCCAAATGCAATGTCCTTGAATACAGATTTGGGGGGACATGCTCTGCAGCACAGCATTTTAGAGTATTTTCACCATGTGGATGGCACAGGTGTGAACAAACCTCAAAGGCAGAGATCATAATTAATCATTGCAGCTGAGTAATTAGGTAAAAACAATTAAGAAGTGGTAAGTTTGGGGCATTTATTACTTTAGTTTTCAATATAATGTATCTAATTGTAATTTTATAAAATTTAACTTTTAATAATAGCATTTTTAACAACTAGCTTGCAAATTTCCTAAAAACGTAACCATTGGCTCTCAAGAGCCAGAACGAGCCAGCTCTAGCGCACACTTCTCATCTCCTGCTCCACTGCTTCCTTCTGGCCTAAGGCACCTTCATCCCTCATCGGATTACTGCATTAGCCTTCTAACTCTTCTCCCTGCTCTGCCCTTGCCCACCCAGAGCCTATTTACACAACAGTAAAGAATGATCCTTCTAATACTTAAGAAGGATCAAGTCACTCTTCTGCTACATTCTGCTTGCATTATTTGCGCTCCTCCCCACCCACCACCACCCTTGCCTTCCTGACCTCATCTTCTGCGTCTCTCCCCCATTTTTGCCCATTCACCTCTGGACCCCACTTAAACATCTAGGCCTGCTCTACTTCAGTGTCATCCCCTCCCTGCGATGCTCTTCCCCCTGACATCCTCATGCTTTGCTCCCTCATCTCCTTCATCTTTGCTCTGCTTTACCATCTCAATGAGGTTTGCCTGATTCACCCTGCTTAAAACTGCAACTGGCGCAGCCCCCACACATACTGCTGCTACCCCTTTTCTGCTCTTCTTTTTCCCCGTAGCACCCATCACCTTCAACTACAATCTGATTTACTCACTTGTTATATTTATGTTTATTGTTGATTTCCCTCTGCCCTCACTAGAATGTAAGCTCCATGAGGGCAGAAATCTTTATCTGTTTTGTTGACTGATGTAACCTTAGAAAATGCAAGACCTATAACAGATGAATAATTACTTGTTGAAGAAATGAGTTTCCTAAAAGTGAAACCAAGAAGCATCAACTAATCCTTCCCAGAATTCATAAGGACTCTACCTGTTCTATACAAGTTTAGACCAGGAGCTAGATTCCAAAATGTCCTTCAAAAACCACTTTTATTTGTGTAAATTTTTAGGATAAAGAAATTCTTTATTTCTAATGCAAATATTTCATTGTGTTTTCTTTTTTTCAACTTACTATTCTGGAATAACTTTAAATACAGAAAAGTTGCAAAGGTAGTACAGAGACCCAGCTTTTCCTAATGTTAACATCTTACATAACATGGCACATTTGTCAAAACTAAGAAATTAACATTGGAACAATATGATATTCACCTTAAAATGATTTATTTTTCTTTAATGAGGATACTATCTCTCTTGGCATGCTTACTTTAACACTGCACGGTTTTTTCTCAAATCAGATTTTCTTTGACTTTAATTTATCACGTTGGTTTCACTTTTTGTTTTTTTGTTTATTTGTTTGTTTTTTGGTTTTTTGTCCTTACGATGTGGGCAACCCCAGGTCATTCTTCATCTTCTCACTTGCTGTTAGCATTGCCCCTCTATATCATTTTCATGAGGCTGTAGTCATTTCTTATGCTCCTATCTGACATGTATATGTGCCTCCATGCAGCCCAGCTGAGCTGTTATATCTCAGGCCCCATCTGCCCGCATAACAGGACAAGGCTTCCACAGAAACTCGGGGGAAAGGGGGAGAATTCCAGCTGATGCCGGCTGTTCAGCCGAACAGAACAGTTGTAGAGTCCTTGGGAATGGGGATTTCCAGGGGTCCAGCTGAAGCAGGAGAACTGAAAGGTTCTGAGTAACATCTGAAAATCCCAGAAGGTGAGCAAGCAGGAGTTCGTCATGGATAAGATCGCAAAGTCTCAGTCTCCAAAATGAGAACCAGGGGCAAAATTCTGTTATAGTGAGAACTGCTGAGAAGAAGGAAAGCCACCCTCCAGAACAGAAACTTAGAAGTGGACCTGGGCTGAGCAGACAAGGAAAGAGGTAGGAGAAGAAAAAGTTACTAGGATGTGAGAACTGAGATACTATTAGAACGCAGGGAGTGGGGCGGTTTGAGCTGTGACGGTGTGAGCAACATAGAAGCGTCCTGGGTCACACTCAGAGTCGGGTTTGTGTGGGAGCCCAGGCAGCACTGAGGCGCCAAGCCCCAGAGCCTTGTTTATGTCTCAGTGCTAAGCCTGCTGGAGGCCAGCTGTGTGCTGAATCTAAAGAAGTCCAGCCTCAGCCTGAGAAGGACAGGCTGAGTGTTGGTCAAGGTGCAGTAGGGTACCTGTGGGGACCTCTTGTGGGACCACTGGAAAAGGGAGCACTGGAGTCGACTCAGAGTGAAATTATTATGTGTGCAGATGACCCACAGCAGAACCAAGAACAGGGACTGGTGAGTTCTGCCACCTTGGTGTCCAGTTTTACAGCATGAGCACTATGATTCTGAGAGAAAGAAAAAGACTACCATGTCCTAGAATTGTGTCCCCTCCACCTGTGCAGATGCTCCTTATCTGAAGTGACCTCAGCCTCCCCAAAATCTGTGGCTAAGCAGAATATGCTGGGTTATTGGAAGAATTCATAGATGTTATTACTGTAATTATTTTGTCTTCAAAGGTATCTCAGCATATGGAAAGTATGTTCTATAAGAAAAGCCTTTCACTTCCTACCCACACAAAAGAGGCATTCAATCAACCGGCAGATACATCCCCACTTTTGGATCTTAATTCCTGGAATGATACACTGGACATTCCTTGTTCCCAGGATATGATTATTCCTAGAGGAACTGAGCAAGATAGTATGAGAAATTAAAACCCCCAAGGAGCAAGGACAGTGTTAATCAGTTTTCCAAAAAGTCTAGGATATTCTGAAGGGTGTGTGAGGGTTTCCTAAGACCAGAGGGAGGCTGAGAGGGAGAGAAAGCCCACCCTCCTGAGCTGTCCTAGAGGCAGCTTTGCCCAGGTTTCCTGAAGTGACCTCAGTGCAAAGTGGCTGGAGACGTATCCTTGGAAGTAAATGCTAAATGAAGAGGAGCATTTGCAAACATCAAGGAAGCTACAGTTGGATGTTTCCATGAGGAAATCTGTGCAGAAGCCAAAAGAGCCAAGACTGGAAAAAAAGAGCTCCTTGCTTCTCCTCACTCTGTTCCCATCTCTCAACCAAGGGAGAAACAAAGGCAACCCAGCGGAGCCGGAAGGAGGCAGAGGAGAAGGTGGAGAAGGACAAAACAGAGAAACAGAGGAGCTGGCCCCAAGGCCCCCACTTTTCTCATTGCAGGCTTCCAGCCTGAAGGAGGCCCGTGCTAGGAGGAGACAGAAGCTTTAAAAACCTTAAAGTTCGCAGTTTGATTGTTACTCAACATTCTCCTTCTGATACGAAACCGTGTTGTGACTAAAAACAACTGGAGGACTTCTTATCTGAAAGGAAGGTGAAAAGGCACAGTAACCTTCCTCTCCCTGGGGCAGGGGCAGAGTATCTCCACAGTCAGGTTTGAACTGGCAGGATGGAGGGGACACGGTGGTGACTGCTTTCTGCTCATACCCTGTTTGAACTTCACATTTAACAGAACGCCTCGGAAAGGATCCACAGGAAACTGATAAGAGTTTGCTCAAGGAGGGGACTGGGTGACAGGGGTGTGAGGGAGACTTCTTCCTATATACCCTCTGGTACATTTTTAACTTTTAACAATGAGAATGTATTTTCTATTTTTAAAATTTACATTTAAAATAAACTGTAGTAAGCAGCCTCTAAGATGGCCACCAGTGACGCCCCTGCTTCCTGGTGTTCATACCCTGTGAAATCTCCCCTTTGGGATGGGCTGGACTGAGGACTCCTTTCTGATGGATGGTATGGAAGACAAGACGGGATGTCACTTCTGTGGTTTCTGTCTTGAGTGCTTGCTCTCTCTGTCTTTGGATTACTCGCTCTGGAGGAAGCCAGTTTCTATGTCTCCAGGCAGCCCTGTGGAGAGGCCCACATGATTGAACTTGGAAATGGATCTACTGAGGCTGCCAAAAGCCACATGAGGGAACTGGAAGGTGGCTCCTCCCCAAGTCAGGCCCTGAGATGACTCTCCAGCTCCTGCTCACAGCTTGATGGCAGCCTCCGCGGGCCACCCTGAGTCCGAGGCCCTCAGCTAAGCCCCTCCTGGATTCCTGACCCACAGAAACTGAGATAATAAGTATGTACTATTTCTAGCCACTAATGGGATAATTTGTCTCTTAGCAATAGATACCTAAAACAAAAAATTGCATGGATAAACATATAGCATGCTTCCCACATTCACTTTTTGATCTGAAAAGTGGACTTTTGAAGTCATTTCCTCACAAGCCATGCTAATTTCATTGATGTTTGCTTTCTTTCATTTTTAATATGAAAACAACAGAGTTTTTCTGACATAAAATTATACTATCAAATGGTCCCTTTGAGGGGAGAGAAGGGAAGAAAGAGAAAGGAAAAGGAGGGACGGAGTAGGAGAGAGAGGCTTGGGGAGAGAAATGATCCCTTCAGATTTCAGAAGTTTAAGAATTGTTTTGTCACATGACCTTTCACCTTCTATAATTCCCAGCGTATAGACGTTTCACAAGGTGCCAAATGTGAGTTACAGATGTTATGCTGGGGGATAAAAAGAAAGCCTAATTGATACTTTTAGTGGCAAAGAGATCATGTGGTTCAATCCATACAAAGGCTTTTGAATTTCTTATCCCTGCTAAAGGAGTCAATTGAATTGGTAACGGATTCACTTGAACAGATGTGTCTCAGTGTGGTTTTAAAGAAAGTGTTCTGATATGCCATCCCGGCATGTACTATCACCAAAAAAAAAAAAAAGCACTGTGCTTAATTGTAGAACAATGCATTAATTAAACAAAGCAAAACAAAACAAAAATACATAAAGGAGGCTCTCCCCAGCCCTCAGAACTCTTCTTTGGAAGAAAAGGAGATTGAAATTGCTTATCTGTACTAAGATTGTCTTTTCCCAGATTCACAACTCTAGGATACCTTTTAAAAAATGACTCCCTTTTCTAATAAAAATTATCTTCAAAGGTGAAAATTTTGCTCACATTATCATATAGAAATAGTTTTCCACTTTTCTGCAAATGCAACTTTAGTCTTGAGCACACTCTGCATCCTTTGTGAGAGTAAAACAAAGAACAGCAGCAAAGACAAAAAAATTCTTATGTTTGAAAACCAATCACAATAAGAATGTATTTGCTAAATAGGGTTTTCTGATTTATGAGACATTCTGTTTAGACAGACTGAATAAACATTCACATGGTGGAGTACTATGCAGCTGTTCCTCTAGCAAAGTATTTCAGCTATTAAAAAGCAATGATAGAATTCAAACATCACCATTTTGCACCCCTAAAAACTAAAGGATCTAAACAATGATCATAAATGACTGTTAACACCACAAAAAGAGAAACAACCAGACATTCCTCCTTATGGAAGCCCATGAAACAATTAAAAAAATAGCAAAATCCAAACTGTGGGAAACCAGATAGTAGAAATGACCCGATTTTCTCCAACAAATAAATTGCAATGAAAAACAGAGAAAGGGAAAAGGAAAGCCAATAGATTAAAAGATACTAAAGATTCAAATCACCCAGATGTAAAAGCTTTAGAAACAGATGTTGATGGTGGCAAAGCATTGTGAATATAATTAATGCCACTAAATTGCACACTTAAAAATGGTTAAAATCACAAAGTTTATGTTATATATATGTATATACATATTCTCCCACAATAAAAAATTTTAAAGATCCATATCACCCAGTACAATTAATTGGGTGCATATTGAATACACTGTAAAAAAGAATTGGAGAAATTTGAACACAATTGGGGATATTCAGTGCTATTAAAGAATTACTCTCTGTTTTTTAGATGTGATAATAGTGACATTTTTATTAGTGGTAAGAACATTTAACATGAAATCTTTCCTCTTAACAAAATTCTAAGTGCGCAATGTGATATTGTTAAGGTACGATGCTGTGCAGCGGGTCTCTAGAACTTACCTAAGTTTTTTAAAATTTCTTGTCTCTTAGAAATCTATATTGAAATATATACAGACAAAAATAATATATATTGGATCTGGGATTTGATTTTGCCTTACCTACAATCTAATAAATTATCCACTTACTATTTTATGGAGCTTGGGAGAATCTCAAGACTCTTGAGTCAGAGACAAAGGACTTTATTAATCATGATGCAATAATCAGCACAAACATCAGCATTTTGTGTTGGTTCCCTTTGCTTGCCAGTGCCACTGGGGTTACACAGATGGGCCTAGAGGAAGCCAGCACATGCAGTGGGTTGTGTCACAGCTGTGGAACACTGAATATGGGGAACCCCCTATTTTTATAGCAAGCAGTAAGAGCAAAGACCTGCTCTTTGTCCAGGGGTGGGAGTGGAGTGTGGAGGGGTGGGGATGAGATGTTCCCTCATTTCTTAAGGTTACTGGGTACATAATCAACCCTGAGAAATGATAAAAGCACAGTCAGGCCCTTGCCATCCACCCAGCAAGATCTGTAGGAATAAAAGAGGCCCAAAGAAGAGCATCTCTCCCAACAATATCATGACATAAATTTGCTTCAAAACTCCATGGAGAGAAGAGGGTGTAGGTAAGTCAGTGGGAATATAATGAAACAAGTTAGGCCATGAGCTGATACTTGTTGAAGCTGGGTTGTGAGTATGTGAGTGTATGAGGTTCACTCTATGCTTCACTGTTCTTTTGCATATGTTTGAAATTTTCTGCAGTAAAAGTTTAAAATCTATTTACTAAACAGTTATCTTATATAATATGTCAGGATGCCAATATTTTTCATAAAATAGAATATGTAAAAATACATATTTGCTATTTTAAATTTATGGAATATTTTACTCTGGCCATTAATACTAAGAATATACAGCAAGCAAACGTTTTTCCTCATTATGGTAAATATATACTACATATATTGTTATTTTATTACAAATATATGAAAGGTCTGTTTTACAGAGGGTTCTAGTCAATTTACTGTACTTGTCTGGCCTGTACTCTGGAAAATGAATCTCTTTTCACATAAGCCAACACAGGTCTTTGACTTATCTGCTACTAGTCCCAAGATGTCACTGTGCAGCTGTGCGAAGTTAATCTCCCCAGGAAAGGTAATAGTTTACTTGAACATCACTGGGTGCCATTTTGAAAAAAACTGAATGCTTTTAGGCTGTGCACATATTTTTTTAAACTGCATTTCTAATGTATTTCACACACCCCCCATCACCCTGTTGGCTTATTCCCTAATATGTGATTTTATTTTGCTAGCTAGATTGTTCAGCTGAATTAAATTGTTCTTTCATTTTGCAAAGAAGTTATTCTCCTCAAATAAAACATAAAAGCAAGGATCTGAAATACCTTGTTACTGTAAACAAATCTCTTATCACCTTTTGTCTTAGTTCAGGCTGCTATAAAAAATTATAGATTGGATGGCTTATAAACAACAGAAATTTACTTCTCAGAGTTCTGAAAGTTGGAAATCCAAGATCAGGATGCCAGCATGGTCAGGTTCTTGTGAGAGTCCTCTTCCAGGTTGCAGATTGCTGACTTCTCACTGTCCTCCTGTGGCAGAATGCAGAAAGCCAGAGGAAACTCTCCTGTCTCTTCCAAGAAGGGCATTAATTCCCTCATGACCTAATCACCTCCCAAAGGCCCCACCTCCTCAAACCATCACATCAGTGGTTAGAATCTCACCATTAATTTTGGAGGAACATAAATATTCAATCTGTAACGCCTTCATCAGCCCATTTTCTGTCAGCCCTATCTCAGCATTCTAGGGTTCTCTGATGTCTAAAAATTATTCAGCAATATCAGATGTCCTTCTGTGTCTTTTGGGGATGGGGGAAAAAAGGAGATTTCTGAACCTTTTTTTTCACAGTTGCATTCCTACATAGAGAATAGCTGGTTTCACTTTGAAAAGAATGTTTCCCTCCTGAGGTAGGCTGTGCCACCAGTTGCCTTGAATCACAGACTACAAATGCCATTCAACTGCTCTTGGAACACCGCAAAGTTCTGTGCAAGCCAGAAATTTCAGTACTTTCTATATGAGCCAGGCAGATAATTCACTAAACTATCAATTTGGTTTTTTTGACATTTATGAGACTAATCCAACCAGTTCTGTGAAGGAAGCCTAATATTTGCTGGAATTATGTCAAATGCAGTGCTGTGCTTTGCCTTGATAACAGAACTCTGCTGCCGTTTGTTTTGTTTTTAATCTACAAAACAGAAATTACAAGTGTTTACCAAAAGCATTGATATAATTTAATAAGTAATAGTAGAAGACAGTTTCCTGACATTTTCAAAACTTCATGTTCAGAGCTCTACTGTAGCAACTTTTTAGACATACAGTTAGGTCCCTAGACACTGAATAAATAGAAGTAAGTTCATTCAAAACAGCAGAAAGAAATTTTGTCCATGTTAGGTTTTTTTTTTTAATGAATTTGATGATGAGGTGGTTCATTATTTTATGAGACTGGAGTTACTGTAGTTTAATAGTTGGTTTAGAATCCTTTATCATTCAGCTTTTCCTAAATTATCTTGGCTCTCTGTGCTTTGTTTTAACACCAATGGTTTGCTACTAAAACCACTCATTTAATTGAGCAAGAAAATAAATAAAAATTTTCAGCACAAGAATCAGAATGAACTAGCAAACATCTGATTGTGCAGGTTATACATGAGAAAGATATTGGCAGTTCCAAAAGCTAAATCTATAAAAGGCAACATTTTTAGTCCTGGGAGCCCATGAAAAGAAGTCTTTATTCCAGGCCTGATAATTGTTCCCTTGCAAGAGGCATAAAAAATCTTTATTCATCAGCCTTTGTCTACACTCACCAGCTCTTTAGGTAAATGATGCACAGAAGATTCCAAGCACTGCTTCCCTGGTAGAGAACTTTCCAAAGTGAATGGTCTCATTGGGTTACTTCTCATGATTACTATTCCTGAAACATTTGTTAATTCATATATTAGCGCTTTGTTTTAAAATTTAGGATAGAGGTTAACAATAAAATGTAACCATTCTTGTGAAGACACTTTTCACAAACATTAAAACCTTCAATTTTAAAATAGTATTTTGTTTCAGTTATCTTGTTTTAGAGTTATGTATCAGGATGCTCTATGATGCAAATGGCAGAAACCCCAATTCAAACTGGCTTAAACTATATAGAAGAGAGCTTAGTGGATCTTGTAACTAAAAACTCTAGATGTCTCGCTTCAGACAAGGCTCACTCCAGTGGTTCAAATGATGTCACTAGGGATCCGGTTTCTCTTTCTGCTGCCTTCCTTTGACTCCACCTTTAGGTTCTACAGAAGTTGCTTCTGGGCAGCTCCAGGATCTCTTCTCCTGGCAGTAAAATGTGTGTAGCAGTCCAGACAATATTTTCAATTCACAGGGTAGAAAGGTAGAGCACATGTCTCTTCTAATAGATTCAGGTCCTGGGAGTCTGAAACCATCAAGAAACCACAGCATTTGCTAACTCCATCAGAAAACCCCTGCTTAAAAGGAGTGCTTCACAAGTGAAGGAGCCCTTAACTTGGAGCTAGAAGATCTAGGTTTGCATTCCAACTGAGTCATTTTATGTCTCATTTTACTTCTTTAAGCCTCCATCTTCTAATCTGTGAAATGACAGCATTGACCTGTGACATATAACATCCCCAACAGTTAATATTCTGATAGCTATGTCTTTCCATCCATCCCAACATACATACACATATGTGCGTATATTTTTTTTTAATTTTTGGTGAAGAAAGGAGTCAGAAACTAGGCTTTGAGGTGCTGGTATGACAAAATCTGTTTTGTTTGCTTGTTTCTAAAAACAAAGTCTTATACAAAGTTCAGCCAACATGTTTTTCATGCCCACAAACACTTCCCATGGCTAAGCTGGGAAAATCAAAAGCATGAAAACAAAAAAGAAAAATACAGAATAATGAAAGCATCTCTCTTTATAAGGCTTTTATTAATTCTCAGTCAGATTCTCAGATGATTGTTGTAATTCTGTCCGAGGCTCCTTTTCTTGTTTCATAGCTTTACACTTTGTGTGTCATTTTCCAAAGTACCCCCTCCCCCCATTTCCAAGGTTACAAGCAGATCACCGATCTGTGAGCAATGAGATCTGTTTGGTAAGAGAATTTGACAACTGAAGCAAAAGAAATCCTAATATCAAAATATGATCAGTAACTCAAGTGTCTGGGTAGAAAGGGAATATGAATTACCATTGCCTACTTATTCCTTCCCAGCGAGCTCAGAGCCATTTTAAAACCCCCTACCAATTCCTGAGAGCATTTAAGAAATGAGATGTTTCCATCATGTTTCGGCTGATGCTGAGGGCTCCTTTCTGCATGTGTCTCTTCACCCTGCCTAAGCAGAGGGTATGTTAAGCATAGTGGAGGGGACCAGAGGGCACCATGCTTAGAAAACCCTGCTGCTGGAAGGTTATCCACTCAAGTGCACTAAGGCTTTGGACCTTACCGCCTCCAGAGTGTCTGCTTTTTCCAAATGATCAATCAGAACAGGTTTGTTCATTGCCAGCATGGGTGAAATGCACCCAATTCTTACTCATTTCCTCCAGTTTGGGATATTTTACCCCTAGCCTTGTAGCCCTACTGGGCCAAGCCTGGCTGGAAGTGCTGTCTTCGATTCCTGGGGTCCAGGCCAGTCCTTGCTGACCCAGCTGTCACTGCCTGAGCCCCCAAATGGGATGTGTACTTAACCCCTGGGCCCTCCTGTAGTGGTGGGGAGCCACTGCTGCCTCCACCTTGGCTAATAAATGCTGCTGTTCCTCTTACTTCTTTTGCTTTTTTAAATTTAAATTTTATAGTTATAAAAAGTTCATAGTTTTTTTATAGTTTAAAAAAATCAGTGCATAGGGTCACATGGCTCAAGAGGGTACACCATGAAAAACCTCTGTTCCAATCCTGCCCTCCAGCTACTAATTGCCTTCCTGTTACCAAGCAAAAATGGACATCATTTCATCCTCTTTTTATGCAAATGTTAACGTACTACATTTGAGAGATTTTTCCGTGTAACAAAATATTACACTGTTGCTAGCAATGTGTGAATGCCTGTTGTCCCAGCCCTCAACAACAGTTTTATCAAAACTTTTGATCTTTGCTAGTCTGA